TATGTATGTATGTAGGTATGTAACTGTATGTATGTATGTATGTCTGTATGTCTGTATACTGTTTTTATTGCATCAGTGAGAATCAGGGGGCTTAGTAGGCTTCGCAAGCGCAAATTCAACTTGGGCTATATAACACATAATATATAGATATATGATATGATATCCCAAATTCGAAGACTTAGCGTACTTATGACCTACTTGCTAAGTCCTTGATCCTGCATGTAGTGGTTCAGCAGACGAGCTTGGTCCGATGCATTTGTCCGAACTGCATCTGGGCGCCGGCGCCTGCTCTTCTACGCATGTGAACTCTTGTGCCCGTGCATTCTGCAAGCGATCTTTTTAGGGCTTCGGGTTTTGGGGTTTATAATTAGGGCTTTGGGTTTAGGGGTTTATAGGGCTTCGGGTTTAGGGGTTTATAGGGTTTTGGGTTTTCCATGGAGCATCAACCAGCCAAGGCAACCGCCGAAGCAATTATACGAAACATAGAGCCCCGAGCAGGATCTGCACGTCGTCAGTGCTGGCTGGCTTGCTGCTCAAAGCACGCGACCCGGGCCTGTGTAATCCGCCCTTAGCTGCTCAAGAAATTTGACTTCATAATGGAGTGAGCCAGGCGAAACTGTCAAGTGCGATGCCTTTAAAGAAACTGGAGCTGGCCCGAAGCTTGTCACACAGAAAGGCACGGTGAAGAGAGCCCGGAAGCTGCACCAGAACAAGCTTTCTTTCGCCAGGGCTAGGGGTCTCTCTCACTCGGAGATCCGCTTTGAGCCGCTTTCTTTTTGAGGAGGGACTGCCTTGCACATGCCCTGCCGCTTTGAACCACTTCACCCTTAATCCGTCCTAAATCTCCTACAAGCAACACTCTGTGCATGCACTCCTGTTGCAACTTCTCTGGAAATCGAGAATAAGCCTCAGGCCAGCCGCCTCCGACGCCGTTCATGTAACCTGCGGTGTAGGGTTTTAGGGGTTTCGGGTTTAGGGATGTTTCGGCTGTCTTTGCCAGGGTCTAGAGTCTAGAGTGTAGGGTTCCGGGTTAGGGTTGGGGGTTCGGTATTTACCGGGCATACATCAAGTGCATGAGTTAATTCCGAGCTGCTGCTTCATTCTATTTTGGACGTCGTACCCTTGTGAATGCTGCCTCGCCTTGAGATGTATCCGTGCCTTGCGCAGACGCCTCAGTCATGGCCCACGTGAACTCATCACTTGCGAGCAGTCTGGCGCAGCTGCTACTTGTTCTGCCTGCTTAGAACAACGAAGCTTAGGTCTAGAGGCTTTCGATTCGAGCCACTGATCGCGGAGCTGGGTCTCATCTGCTTAGTCTGCACAACAAGGTCCGGACGAAAGGATTGGCGTAGTTCGCCATGCAATAAGGCACCTTTTGCTGTGAGGTCGTCGGCAACATTGAAACAAAAGATTAGGCTGTTTCGCGACAGAGCAGCAAAAGCGTGCCCCAGAAATCTCGATTCCAAAGCTCCCCCTTCAATCGCGCGGAAGCTGCAGCCCTTTCGGATCTCTCGTTGCAGAAGCCTGTGTCTCACTGACTGTCTCAGCTGCCCTCTGCAGTTGTTTCACAACATGACAGGGGCTTGAAGCTACGATGCCCTCCAAGAGCCAGTGCTCTGGTCCTACAATACCTGGACCTGAATTCCTAAAGGTTGAAGGTTTACGGGTTGGGGATTCAGGGTTTCGACTCACGCACTCGTTCAAGGTTTAGGGTTTAAAGCTTAGGGTTGAGGCTGGGGTTCTACCGCAATCTCGAAGGCTTTTTGCCCATGCTGGTGCATGACGTCTCCGGGGCAGCGTCTCGGATCAAGATGGCCGAAGGAATGCCTGAGTTACCCAGGTCGGGGTTCGTCTCCAGCAGTAAGTTCGCAAAAAGGGAACCTACACGAACCCATAAGAATTTGGTTTCCTTGTTTTGGTAACTCAACACGCCTGAAAGAGCTTTTAATCGTAAACCCCTGTAGGAACTACGAGTCTATAGAACCCCCTTCCTAAGGTCAGGCCCTAAAGAAGAGACCCATGTGAAGCCTAATGCCCCCAAGTCGCCGAGCTCGTTGCGGCAGGCCTGGCATCTCCGGGAGTGAGCCATGCTCCAGCGCTTGAGTCGTCTTTCGTTTAGTTTTGAGCTCCGATTGAACTTTCAACGCGACTCTCTGGAGGTCGAGGCTTGGTCGACTGTTGCTGTCGGGAGGCTCGCCAGCCAAGGGCTGGTAGCTGCTCTCTTCCAGCGCACCACGAGCAGCACCTCCAGGGATTTCCGAAGACAGCGCGCAGCGTGGATGCCTATCTTCTCACCCTGAAACCAAGGGCAGAAGAAGGGGGCTGAACCTTTAGCACCAACAGCTCCGGCTCCAAAGAAAACAATCAATACACGGAGCCTGCATGGGCATCTCTGCTGCTCGATGACGCGTTGCCACCTTGGATTTTTCATCAAAGGTAGTCAGCGTCACATTGGCAGGCTTCAACATTTGAATTTGAGGAGCTATCATGAGCTATCAGGTCCAAGGCTCTTCGCTGGCTGCGTGTACTGAATTCGGCTTCCTCCTGCCACGCTCATGATGAAGGAAGATGTAGGGCGTGTCAGGCTCAAGAATGTGAGGCCGAACATGCATTGTTACGTTCTCCACAAGCTTGTATCACCTCTCGTCTGTGGGATTCATCACTTTGGCTGAATCCGTGGCGGCGAAAGTGTCCTCGTTCCCCCCTGTGGCGAGCTCCCGCTCGAGTTGTTCGCGCCTTATGGGTTCGGAAGGGCGCAAACAATAACAATATGACCTCTATTTCCAATGTAGACTACTATGCTCAGAAGTTGTGAGGCAAGCATGTTGCTCCTTGCCCACTACTGTAGACTCTCAAGGCCCCTGGAGCCTCGCAGACCTCTGCTTCAGATTGGTATATGGATACAGGCACTTCAAGACTCAACGTGAGCCAAGCCCAGATCGCATGTCGAGGCACTGATACTCCAAACGTAGGTGTCTCACATGATGCTTGCACCTGCCAGCGCATGGCGCTGACATGGAATGGCTTCATGCGCTGCAGGCATTCCCACCTCTCGTACTTGTTGTAATGCCTCGGTAATCGAATTCATGAGTGCTCGGGTGCCTCCCATTAGTGGGACAGAGCTGAGAGGGCCCTCCTGCTACCATGAAGTGGGCCCCGTGCTCTTAACTCTTAACGTCAGCATGCGACACGCAAGTTCCGAGCTCGCAGATGAATCCCATTATAGGTTAGTTTCGACGAGTAGCCTCTAGCCGTCATCTATGTCAAAACCTGAGCCCTTGCAGGCCCTTCCGACACGCCCATGTTATTGTAACATCATCTCCAAACCCCTTTATTTCCAGACTATCCCCAAACTCCTGAACCCTAAACCCCTGAATCGAATCTTAACCATGGCCCATGGCTGAAGATTTCTGAGTCCTTCTTCAATGTCGGGCTTGGGAAGTGCTTACAAAGCATCAGGGCCAGAGAGCAGGACCAGGCATCTTGGTGGCAATACACGTATAAATATATATATACATACATACATATATGGATGTATGTGTGTACGTATGTACGTATGTACGTACGTATGTATGTATGTATGTATGTATGATTATGTATGATTATGTATGTGTATGGGTAGACTCCATTATAATGGCTCAAGAAGGGAAGGGACACCTGCAGCAGCTTGGGCATGTTTGGAGTCCAAGACACAGCAAAGCCGTTACCAAGCAGATCAAAGGGAGCGCTACCCCGAAGAAGCAAACGAAGCCGATGAAGGCCTGCACGAAGGCAGTGCTCTGTTTGGGTGGCTGACGTGTGCTGGTTCAGTGCTGGTTCTCAGCGTCGGCAAATGAATTCGAGGACCCAGGCGAAGCAAACGCTGAGCTGGGCTGGTCACTTCAAGCCTTCAAGAAGAGCTGTGTTTCGGGGCATCTTTTCAGCGAGTCGTGCTGCTGTACATGGTTCAGGCGCAGGCTACGGGACGAAAGCGCTCTCAGCTCATCTCCATTTGACCTATTATGCTCCTTACTTTCCCCTGTTCTCGTGCCATGTGACCCATGACGACAAAAGGTCCCCCTTTCTGGGCGCAATCAAGCGCTGCAGGTTCAGCGCTCTCACTCCACCAGCAATGCCTGCAAAGTGCACCATAGCGATGCTTGGAGGAAGCTGGCTTATATTATATTATTACTATTATTATATTATTATTCTATTCTATTCTATTCTATTCTATTATTATATGAGAATAATAATAATTATGATTATATTATTATTATATTATTACTATTATTATATATTATTTCTATTATTATTATGTGACCGAGAACCCTTGGGCCTCCCTGTCGGCACCCTCGGCGGGTTCGATGTTCAACAGATCCTCACTGCATGGGAAGACATCAGGTAGTAGCCCAAGAAAACTGCAGTCTGGGGTTTAGGGTTTAGGGTTTAGGGGGTTTAGGGTTTAGGGGTTTAGGGTTTAGGGGTTTAGGCAAAACTGCAGTCTGGCGCAGCATGCAAGACATCCGGAAAGGGGGGGTGCGACGAGATCTTGCAGCAGTAAAAGGCAGGAGCAAAGTGCCTCAAGCGCGTGTGCAGCCTCTTCTGATGTGCAGTTCAAGCGGTACCTCAGTCAAATTTTCAGGATCACGCGGGTCACGCAGTTCAGATTCCACGTGTGCAGTGAACTGAGGCGGCCGCTTGCTTAACTTGACCTCGCTGGATGGCAATGCCGCAGCAGCTCAGTGGCTTTGCCTATTTTTTGCCTTTGTCCTGTGATTCTAATTTAGTGAGGGTAAGGCTCAGGCAATCTCCTCGCCTTTCGTTTTCATCATGTCTTCAATATCTGTCCCTTCGTCTTCGAACCTTCAAAGCTATTTCCATGAGGCATCTTCACTCAGCCTCGACTGCTCAAGCCGCATGCTGCCGAGTGGCCACCCCAAACGATCCGCAATCAAGTGTCGGTTCCTGAAGCAGCGGGTGATTGTTGGAAGCAAGGCGCTCACCCCTCAACACTAATTACAAACTCCAAGCCTTCTCTAAGCCTCCAGAACCCCAAACCGTGAAGTCCCGCAGCTCGGACAGGTGATGATGACGACGCCATGGTGGTAGGCGCCTCGGGCTGAACCAGGGCAAAGCGCGACGGTCGATAGAAGGCACCAGCGAGCTGCGCATTATACCAAAGCCCTAATCAATGAATATGATGCACTCCTTGCCCTGTCTGGCTCATCTGGGGCACTTCTTGTTTGGTCAATTCTAGGATCAGGATCCCGGTTGCAGGAACCATCGCCATGTTGCTGTCAGCTGAGTCAGCAAATCTAGGGCAGGTCAGAATACAGTAAGGGCCAAGAACATCCAAGAACCATCATGTGGAGCGGGCTGTCCAAGAATACTACAGCGCGACTGAGACGAGATTACATCTGTTTTCTTTCTTTGTACAGTTAGGCGAGGGTTCGATTCAGGAATTAGGGTCTTGAACTTGGGAGTCTGTTAAAGGCTCCAAACCCACCACCAAGAGTGCACCCGAAGGTACGCTTCGAAATCTTCTTCGCGCTGCGATGGTTGCATACCTTGCCAGCATGCTGGGCTCAACTGTTTCGGCTTTAGGGCTGCTGGATCGTGGGGCTTTCGACTCCTTCGAATGCCATGCTCTGGTAGGATTACATATACATAACTCCCAACCCGGTTAAAGGTATAGTATATAAGGGCCAGCCTTTGCCAGAAAATCGTGTGATATCTTGAAAAACACTGAGACTCGAAGCCTGCAAAAGCTCTTGGCAAAGCATTTCAAAACCCTACTGAAATCTACTAAAGGTTAAAAAAGCATTTCAAAACCCTACAGACATCTACTAAAAAGTTACTAAAGCATTTCAAAACCCTACCGGAAACTGTTAGTCGCTGTTAGTCACTCACTGAAGGTCCGCTTCAAGTCCAAGGAGCACCACAGGTGTAGGCCAGGGCATAGGCCTCCTCGGCCCGGGTTCCCGGAAGTCCTTCTTTCAGCTGCTCCCTGCCATGCAGGGTTCAGGGTTTACCCGGACCCTGAAAGTATGTGGACCCTGAAAGTATGGAGAAGAATAGCCTTTTATGGGTTTTGGGGCCATTCTTTCACCTACTTTGGGGTGGTTCGGGTCGGGTCTAGGGATTGGCGGCTTGATTTCGGAGCTGAGGCTCTCACACTCGGACAATCCAAGGGCTTAAGGGTTCTTAGTTCCGGTTTCTGTGCTAAGCTTGGGCTTGATTTCGACTCTAACTCTCCAGAAGGCTTCACGTTAGGGTTCACCGGAGTGTGCCTTTCCGCCAAGCTTGACGCTCATTGAAGTTGTACTGCCGTCACGACCAGAGAGTGTGCGGCTAGGGTGTACTGTTGGCAATCACTCTCGCACATGGAGGTTAAGGGATCTTGTATTAGGATTTGCTTTCTGGTTGTCCGGTTTAGGATGTACGAGTACTTCAATATTTAAGGCTATTTAAGGCTCAAGGTTTTGGGGTCAAGACGGGGGAAGGGCTTCGGAACCCAGAGAGCCCAATACCCGTTAATTAAGGAGTATACCTTAGATCATAATATTAAGGCCCCTATAATCTATTCCTTAATTAAGGGGTGTTGGGCTCTCTGGGAAATCGCCAGTCATGCACAGCGCCTCAAGAGATCTTCGAGCACGCGCAGCTTGCTGTCTTCGGCCTTCGTCTTGCCAAGACGAGGGATATAATCATTAAGACCGTCCCTAGGGCTCCTCACTAAGTTACTATGAGTTGCGGATAGTTAGGGCTCCTTATGATGATTCTTTTACCACCGCTGGAAAGAGCAGGAGCCAAGCCTCCGGATGCGGTCCGCTGCTGAAGTGGCGGCCAGCATGAAAAAGCCTCACGGGACTAAGATGCGGGAGGCATGGATTTCGCGCAGTGAACCTCTGCTTACCAGTCAAGTCGAGCAGCAAAGGTGGCAAAGAAGGCTGCACATGGATGGAAAAGCTGGGCCTCGCCACGTCCCTGCGCTTCAGCACGCGCCTGATCTTCCAACACCAGCACCCCTCGCCCTTGCTTTCAAGGCCATGCTTGTGCTGCTTAGGTTCCGCAGCGATGCCCTTTGGGCACGGGCAAGGCGCCACATGGCTGGGATCTAGTTGCAAGGTTCAGCTACAAGATGCTACAAGTATGTGATCTGACGGATGCTTGCGACAAGCCCCTGGCAACCTTGCACGATGCGCCCTGACTCTTGTCCTATATGCCCTTAGCCGTGCAAGTCCTGCATAGTCTACTGCTTGGAGCCAAGCAAGCAGGTGGCAATGGCACTACGACTTCTCCTGCACCTTTGCACTTTGAGTTCACACAGCCCCTGCTGGTTTGTGCAAGCCCAGTTTCCTGCCTGCATGTCCAGGACATTCCTGAGCCGCCGGAGTTGGGCTGGGCTGTACTAGCTGGCTCTTGTATACTATTTCTGTACAGTACTCTAATTACTATAGCATAGTGTACTACACTAGACTATACTGAGACTCGCAGCTTCCTAGCCGTCCCTCTTATAATGGCCCCCCCACGCAACAAACGCACAGCCAGGAATCTGCTATGTAGCTGAAACACAACAGTAAATGCGTCAAGGTGACATGTGCACTACTGCGAAGCCCACGAGGAAGCCGTGTGACGAGGGCCCTCCTGCGATGACGAAGCTGTGCTTATCGCCCTCTCTCTCTCACCGTGGCTCTCCGCATGACAAGCCTTGACAACATTAGAAGAGTCCCTTCCAGGTCCTGGATACAGGCAGATCGCACTTCTGTGGTGGAAGAAGACCTGCTTCTCGTGCCCGGAAAGCCTCGGAAACAGAAGCTTCGCCTGATTCCCGCTTGATTCAGGAGCTCTCAAACTCTCGGTCGCGCCTCCGCGAGCTCTGCAGCACGTAGGTGACGTGCCTCGGTGTTCGGTTCTTCTGTTGTTGCTCGTATTAATGTGCTTTTCAATATTTAAAATGCTATGCAGTTACACTGTTGCTATAATGGGCAGTGGAAAATAGCTGGAAGGTGATTCAGAGCTGAATGCCGACGAGCTGCTCGTCATCGAAAGAGGAGGCCTCTCCCACGAAGGCAGGATCAATGTGCAGTAAATCTCTAAATGATCCTGCAAAGCTCTCCTAATAGGGTTTCAACTCACACACTCGCTCACGCAGGCATGGCAGGTTCCGTCTCAGCTAATAGGGTTTAGGGTTTAGGGTACCCTTTGAACCCAGACTCTGCGGTCCCTAAACCCTAAACAAGCTAGGTCCTACACAGATGGCAAGCCTTGACTTCGCCAACTGCAAAGGCTCCCTCCGCGTAGCCACCACAGGGGCTTGCTGCGGGAAGAGGGCAGTTAATGCCGGCAACGTTGCCTCGGAGTCTCGAACTCATGTGTGCAGATGATGCCTGGCAAGCCATACGTTGGAGTGCACTAGATAGAGTCGGCTGCTTTCGTCTCACTGAAGCCCAACTAAAACCTAAACCCCTTATTCCACCCCCTGATTCCAGAAAGGTTCATGAACCAAAAACGCGGCCACAAAAAGTGACTCAATTGCTCACAGCGGCCGTGGAGAACCACATCCTCCATCCGCGCACTTCCTCAGCGAGATCTAAGACAGTTTATTTAACGCAAGGCACTACAGTACTGTACGATACTATACTATGCTATAGACTGTACAGTATAGTATGGCATAGTATAGCATGGTAGAATATGATTTGGTATAATTCGTATCGCAAGGTAGGCATTGGGCATCGGTGACCCGGGCCAAGGGGCGCAGATCGGACAGGTCAATGTTCGAACCAACCTCGGTCAGAAGGTCAGCAATGCCCGTAAATTCAGATCTCTTGGAGTGTTTTTCAGTCACATCGACTGGTCCAGCCTATCAGGTTCTCCAGAGACACTTACTTCCCCAATAAACCAGGGAAATAATAAAAGGTTGAACTTTCAGATTACTACTAAATTTTGGAACCCAAAAAGTTTTAAAGGTTGGCTATTTTGGAGAACTAAGGACACTAGAAAACTGAGCCCTTTCATTCTTCGGCTGTTAGGGCTCCCACCTCACCGGCTCGAACCGCCACCGTCAATGCAGCTGCCATTTGTTGTGAGACACTGCGGCACATCGGGTCAAAGTTGATGGGCCGGATCACCACCTGATTCCGAGAATCTTCGGCATTTGGGCTCAAGAATCTGCACCCTTTCTGCTGCTACTGGATTCAAGTCGAGCCAGACTACGACCGACCCCCACCTGCAATCATCTTATCGAATCTTGACTGAGCCCGACACGCGCAACCCTAAACCCCTGAACCCCAAGAACTCGACACCTTTCGGTCAACTCAGGGACAGACCTGGCTGACAGAGGAGCAGTTGGTGCACTTCAAGTTGATTTCCTCGGACCAGCCAGGGTTGATGAAGGTCCGCACGCCCACGATGAGGAAGCCCCTAAGACGCGCTTTTTGACTTTCAGTCAGGTTTTGGGGTTTAGGGTGAAAGGGGGCAAGTGTGCAAAGATCTTTCTGCTGGTGGGAGAAACAAAGGTCTCGCTAGAAGACTGGAGACTCCAACCAATGCAAGCCGAAACCGTCAACCTGCCAATGCCCAAGCACGGGCTGCAGTCGGGGGCACTTCAGAAAGGTCAGTTGTGGCAGGCGATAGTAGGACAATGGGCCCAGCAAGCGAAGTGTCGGAACGGCCTGCGGCAATCCAAAGTCAGTGTTAAGCCTGCTGAGGCAGATGAAAACTCTGAGGGACGTAGGCCCATAATGGCCGCAATTACAAGTTGAAGGTATCCCGTCTGACAGCTTGCCCGTCCGGGTGCAACTACGCGTAGCAAGTTAAATCACGCCAAAAGCAGCCGAACTTGCAATCTGCCGGCAAGCCGTCAATCACACTTGCATGCAACCATGGCGCATCCTCATCGTCGCCCACTTCCCGGATGCACACAGAATGGCGCTGTCGGGATAAGTCCTGGCCATAACACAAAGATGCATCCGCGCAGATCACCTCACCGGTTGACTTTTTCAGGTCACATCAGACGCCATGCACCGTGGAGGAGAACGGACAACTGCGGCCTCTACCGAGCACAACACAACATTGGCATGTCGCGACTTGGAGGCAAGTTGCAAGGCCATGGTTTGAGCAATCTGCCTGCATCCCAAACTCAACAGTGGCGACTAGCCTGGTCGGACGCATCTTTTGCCAGGAGCCAGTCAGGCCGCTTCAGGCTGTAGGAGAGGAGCCGTGTATCCTGATAAAGCACAGCTACAGAAAGACACAGCAGATACTAGATTACTAGAAAGAAGCTTTGAAGCTTGAACAGCGTCCCTTAAGTCTTAAGTTTAAGTGTCTGGGGGTGGAATCTCGTCGGGGGTTTGAATGTCGTGCAAGAATAAGGTGGCATGGGAACCAAATGCAGGTCAACTGCCGAGCTGATCTGCAAAGGCTCTGGTCGCGCTTGTTCCGCTGCTTGAAGATGGACAGGGATGCCTCGTGTGAGGTAGGCACACAACACGCCAGACCAAACCAGCTGCTGCCTCCTGTCTAGATTGACTGCCTTTGACTCGGTGGGACATGCGGCATGCTGGCCATGATGATGTCGAGTGGTTGGGCTTCCTTCCCTGTTTCTAAGCTTGAAAGATTTTGAAGCTGTTGCCATGCAGACACGAGCAGCAAGCCAAAATCAAGCCGCAAGCTCCGGGACCCAACATGACGAGATGCAGCTGGCAGGGCCAAAGGCGCAGCTGCTGCAGTCCTGTACCCATAGAACCCAACACCCCTTAATTAAGGAATATACCTTAAATTATAGGGGCCTTAATATTCTGCTTCCAAATATGTTCCTTAATTAAGGGGGAATTGGGCTCTCTGGGTTCCGAGACAAAGCGCAGGGTACCCCTCAGAACATCTCGGAACACCGCCGATGTCTGCGCTCAAAAGGCCACTCCTGCGGTTTCTCCACAATGGTCAAGCAGGGAACTTTGGAGGCGTTGCTCCAATTTAACACCTCGGTGGCTGCATGCTGAATATCACAACTCCGGGCTGCGGAAGCAAGGTGTGCAGTGTGGACAAGTCGAGAAGCATGCCAAATATGCACGAAGCTAGAACTGCTGGAATTGTCTTTGCCGGCATTTCCGTAAACAACATCGTACCGAGATGCAATGACCACATCTCCAACCAGCTGCAGCGGCACCGGGAACATCCGCCCTTCAGCAATTGACGCACAACCGTGATCGCAATTTTCTGCACATCACTGCCCCAAACTTCCAGAAGCATTCAGCATAACATGATATAGGGGTGTTAATCATTAGAATAGGGACTTGAAAAATATAGTGTAAGTCAGTATCTAGTGTTGTTTTGCTGTTTTTTTCTGGTCCATATACCGTAGCTTCAAGCAAAACCCGTCTATGACAGCAGCTGTTTGCCGCCTTCGTCCTTGCTGCTTTCGTTGAGTGCCTGCCGAAGATGCTGTAGGGATTAAGGGTTTAGGGTTTTTAGGGCTTAGGGCTTAGGGCTTAGGGTTTAGGGTTTAGGGGTTTAGTGGTTTAGGGTTTAGGGTTAGGGTTTTTTTTTTAATCACCTCCTCTCAGGGCTTAGGGTTTAGGAGTTTGGGGCTATTTTTTCGCTCACATTCGGACCATCCAGGCGAGGCATGTGGTTCGAGGTCTGATTGAATTGAAACCCAAATTAGGAGCAAGCGGTCTTTACAACCCCATACAAAGTACAACCCAAAGAACCTAATACCCCTTAATTAAGGAATATACCTTAAATCATAATATTAAGGCCCTTATAATTTAAGGTACATTCCTTAATTAAGGTGTATTGGGTTCTCTGCGAACCTACTCAAGGTCTGGGGGTTTAGGGTTCTCCGGAAAGACAGAGTGGCTCCTCGCTGCACCATGCTGCGCCGAAAAAGGCTATTCAGGGCAATGCCGAGGGGATCCTAAACCTTTTTACCGTTACAAGAACCTTGTTCTGGGAACCCTTCGTTCCTGTAGAGGAATCCTTCCATAGTACAGAAGACCCATTTTGCTTGAGCAGGAACTGCAATGCTCTAAGCCCTGAATCCCTTCAGCCAAGCTCCAAGATTACCCGAAAGCCCTTTTCTGAACCCAGGCTCTGCCAATCAAAGCCCTAAACCCTAAACCCTATAAGCCCTATAAGCCCTATAAACCCTATAAGCCCTGTAAACCCTATAAACCCTATAAGCACTATAAACCCTGAAAAACCCTACTAAGAGCCCTATAAGCCCTACTAAGAGCCCTCGTACAAAACCCTTATGCCGCACTGGCCTTCGCCTCGCGAGGCCTGAGCTCGTCCAGCGCAGAACCGGAAACCGGAAGCTTCGCCTGCGGGTTAGGGTTGAGGGTTTTTAGGGTTTAGGGTTTTAGGGGTTTAGGGGTGTATAGGGTTTAGGGTTTAGGGCTTTACGCTCTCACAACTCGGACAAGCCAGGCGAGGTTTAGGGCTTTAGGGTTTTAGGGGTTAGGGTTGACACTCTCAGAACTCGGGTAATCCGTTTTTTTCCCCACTCGCATGGCTGAGATCTATGCCCACAAGCGAGCTATCGTAGTCTGTTTTTTCCCACCCGCCCAGCCGACTAGGTCGCACCGCAGGGAGCTTGTTAGTGTTCAGAACTAGTGAGTTTCGCAAGACCAAGGATCCATTTTGTTACCCTTTCGACAAGCCAACACCAAATGTCACCCATAAGGAAGAAGGGCAACAGTACAGTCGTCGATCTCGCCCGTGCTAGCCTGTTGTGCAAGAGGAGTTGGCTTGCTACCCCAAAAAACCATACGTACCCGGGGCCAGTACTCCAATCTGACACAGCAAGGCCAAAGCGTGTAGGATACCGTGACTCGCAGGAGCCCCACCAGCCACCAAAACACAAAGGTTTAAGCAGAAGTAATCTGTTTAGGGTTCAGGGTTACTTAGGATCCACTCCTGGACCTCGAGGAAAAAATCGAAATCTAAGAGTCCACAACCCTAACGTGTATATATATATATACACATAATATATATGCATGTATGTATGCATGTGTATATATATATATAGATATAGATAGAGACCCTGCTAGAGACCAAGTAGTGGTTTCAATTTCACGCCCATGGCCTGCTGGGCCATCGCCAGCACCTCCCTCGCTTTGGCGCGCTGCTCCGCAGGAGAGGACGACCCGATGCTCGCACCCATCACGGCGGCCTGGTGAGGTTTTTTGGGCTTCGAGTTTCGGGTTTTGGGGGGTTCGACTCACACAGACTCGCATGGGTTTATATAGAGTTTAGGGTTTCGGTTTTTTGTTTTCACGTCGAGCTTCGGGTTTAGGGGGCCCTCCTGAGGTTTTGGGATTTTTGGTTCCGGCATCAGGGCTCGCGCAGTGGGACTTACCGAATGAGGGTCTCTGAGGGCTTGTAGGCTGGGTTAACTATAGTATTTACTATAGATCCGTATTATCGTAGCTTAAATTGAATCCCTTACCAAGAACCCAGTGGAGTTTGGAAGGATTTCTCCACTTCCAATGAAACCATCCATAATCAATTAGCTAACGGGTGTGTCCTTTCAGCAACGGCAGCGCAGTCTCTCGGGAGTTGAGCTTCAGATTTTCGGCGTTGCTTGCCTGCTTCGTTTACGACCTTTGCCTTTGCTTTGCTTTGCTTTGGGGTCAAGACCTCGATCTTTCTTTCTGCTGGGCATAAACCTAGGGGTCGTCGTGCTAGCCCAACCACTGCCTGTGTTATGGAGCGGCTCTCTCTCTCTCTCTCCCGGGCATGGGGGGTCGGTCAAGACCCCCGGGCTCAAGAGCCCACCCGCAAATGTTTTGCGGGCGAGGAGGCGTGAAAAACGAGCATAAGTCACCCAACAGCTAAAGCGATAGGTTGTTAAGCAATGTGAGTAAGGGCGACTGTATGCTCTCCACGACACATGCACGAGTCGACAAAGAATCTCCCCCTAGGTGATTACCAGGATGAGAAGCTTCTTCATGAGAACACTTCCATAGGGGGAGAGACAGTGTCCTCAGTTCAAGGTTGTCCCCCTCTTTGGTAAGAAAGACACAGTGAACAGTGAGCCCAACAGACTAGTAATGGATTTAGGAATGCACTCAGGGGACAAGCTTTTCGAAACACTTGGCATTTTATTCTGAGTAGAATGTTCCCCCTCGGAAGTGAGATAATGAAATGAAAGGTCGAAGGTGTAGTCTTCTGGAGGAACATTCCCCCTATACCCTGCTCTGCGAAGGAGTAGTTGCCCAAAAGTGCGAAGTCGGAATTCCCCCTCGTCAACGAAGTAACCTACACCGTGGAAAAACCCATAACCCAGCGGCCCCTGGCAAGCCATGAACTACCAGCAGGGGATGAAACTCCTCGTTAATTTTGTTGCCTTCGTGGTGCACGTATACTCCCCCGAATTAGCATGAAGGATTGACTTCGAACACAACAACAACAAAAGAAGCCCTACAGGAAAAGTAAGAGTATCCACAAGCCTGCATGCTTTGGGCCCTATCGGCCTGGGGAGTAGCCTTACTGAGTTTCTCCCATTGCTTGTAAAACAAGGGAACAGCACTTCATGCAAGCCCTACGGAGCTAACATACGTAATTGTTGTCAGGGAGACTCAGTTTTGGCCTTCTTTTCCGACAGGGGTCGGAAATTGCACCCTGTACGTTGTGTGTATCGGAGTCTCCCCCGATTTTTGTTGCAGCAGCAAGAACACAGCGCTCAGTTAGGAGACCCTAGAGGGTAACCATGTGTACGTGTTGATGATGGGGGAGACTCCTGTTTGGCTTCGTTGGTCCCGGATCCCGACGTGGGATAGTGCGAACGCCCCACTGAGCCTCTCTCTCTTTTGGCGGTAAAGCAACAACAACACACCCCCCTAAACCACGTCACAAGGCAAGGCCGTCTAAGTTCTTCCGAGAGACTCAGTCGTGTCCGTTCTTTTTCCGGTGGCATCGGAAACTACGAGAGCCGATGCTGAATTTTTATCTCTCCCCCGTCGCACCTGAAGATGACCTCCCCACGAGCCGAACAACGATTAGGCAAACACTCCCTCACATGCAAACCCTCTTATGCAAACCCTCTACGGTCGTCTTCACTAGGAGAAGGAGGTGTCCAAAAGTTCTTGGGCGGTACACTGCACAATGTAGGTTGGTTAAGTCCCCTAGGATCTACACCTAACAGTCAGAAGGTGCTCTGTGCAGTGTACAGCAGGAGCTGTTCCCCTTTTTTGTTGTAGCAACAAGAGCACAGCACTCGGGTAGGGAGCCCTAAAGGGAAAGCATGATTGGATGTTGATATCGGGGAAAGCTCCTGTTTATTGGTCATGCCCCCGTTGGTACTCATCGATGCTGGATTCCCCGGCTCGAAACGGAGGAGAAAAAGCCTAAAACCCCCAGTAGACAGCCATTTAGGAAAATACTACACGGGGAATCCCCATCAGAGTTCAACGGTCTTCCCCTTGTGGGACCTTTGCGCCTGCATCGATTTAGGCATCTAAGTCAGCGACAATTCCCCTTGACAATGATGGAAATGTACACATGAGCGTAGCAGCTAAACCAAGGCCCGGTCCTTCCCCTCCAAATCCCCCTCGTGTTGGATTGTCGCAAAAGAAGGCTAGGCAAGTACTGTGCGCAGTGGCTGACTTCCCCCCATTACAGTGTAGAAAACAA